AGTTGTGCCCTCTTAAAGGCACAGTGCGCATTATCCTGAGAGCCCAGCATTTTGGCTCTCAACAAGGTGAGCAGTGACTGCTATATTTTATTCATAGTTTTAGTGAAGATAACACACTATATATGTTTTATCTTTCTCTTTATTGCTGAGTATTCCACAACTCTCCACTGAAGAAGTTTTGGTATTAAAGGTAGGCAGACAATGTAAAATAGAGCAGCAGGAAATGCTAGCAGAATGCTTGGTTGTATAGGGAGAGGTATTAGCAGTAGAAAGAGGGAAGTGCTCATGCCATTGTACAGAACACTGGTGAGACCTCACTTGGAGTATTGTACACAGTACTGGAGACCGTATCTTCAGAAGGATATTGATACCTTAGAGAGGGTTCAGAAAAGGGCTACTAAACTGGTTCATGGATTGCGGGATAAAACTTACCAGGAAAGGTTAAAGGATCTTAACATGTATAGCTTGGAGGAAAGACGAGACAGGGGGGATATGATAGAAACATTTAAATACATAAAGGGAATCAACACAGTAAAGGAGGAGACTATATTTAAAAGAAGAAAAACTACCACAACAAGAGGACATAGTCTTAAATTAGAGGGACAAAGGTTTAAAAATAATATCAGGAAGTATTACTTTACTGAGAGGGTAGTGGATGCATGGAATAGCCTTCCAGCTGAAGTGGTAGAGGTTAACACAGTAAAGGAGTTTAAGCATGCGTGGGATAGGCATAAGGCTATCTTAACGATAAGATAAGGCTAGGGACTAATGAAAGTATTTAGAAAATTGGGCAGACTAGATGGGCCGAATGGTTCCTATCTGCCGTCACATTCTATGTTTCTATGGTTCTATCTACAAATACCTCTGCGCATGATATTTGAGCCTGTCCCCCCTAAGGCTCTGCACCATGTGAGTGTGCTTTATATGGATAATATACCACTCTATTTGTTTTAGACATACTGCACCATATTTTGTTTATTTCTTTCCCTCAGAAATTCTGTTGTATTGTATTCCCTTATCTTAGGGTAAGTGTATACATTTAAGCGCTCCACTGGTTTTTGTTTGATGTGGTTGGTTCTTTCCACTCAAATAATATTCCACTATCTGGTTTTGTAATTTACTCTTTAGCTCTACCTACGGCTGCCAATTTCTTCAATATGTTCGTTATGTTTCCTGATGTTATGTTAGACTGTTATTCGCACCAAAGAAAGAAGAGGAGCTATGCCTGTCAGGGCTTTATGTGGAACATGCTACTTGTTTTTGATTGGTTAAAGTTTATGATTGACATAATCTACAATTGTTAATTACCACATTCTGGTAACATAAAGAAGAAATGTAGTCTGATTGATACAACACAAAATGGAAGCTATAGTAATTGGGTAAAGGTAATATAGAACTAGTAATGAAATGCTAAACTAGCTATATTGCAGACAGAAAAATAATAAAATAGTATTGCTAAGAATGTAAACTTGCAGGCCAGGTTAAGGAATACTTACAGACAATGCTACCTAGGAACAAATACACATGAAGACAGCTTCAGTTACAACAGAATATGGATTAAAATGGTTTCTGCAAGGTTCGGAGGTAACAGTTGCTATGGAGAATAGAATCATAAGAAAAAGAGTACAAACTCAGCAAATCACCACTAGATGTTTCCAAAAATGGCTCAACTGGAGCCAAAACAGAAGGCTATGGATGATGATTTTTTTTTTCAATATCTTATTTTTAATGAGATTTTCACATACAAATGAAGAACGTCAAATGGGGATACAGAAAAAAAAAAGAGGGGGTGGGGGGAATTTCTAACCAAAAATTAACATTAGTGCGAAGGAGAATTGTCAAGAAGTATACATCATTTACAGAAGGCAAAATATAAGACATATCATAGTTAGCATGCATCCCGTATCAAGAACAGCCATTGCATAGCATGTTATTGACATAATAATATGTAAGTGTAAGTGGGACTAGAATTGTGGCTTTAATTAGTCCTCGGGATGGTGTGTGAGATGTTTAGGGGACACCCGTACCCTCCGTGTGGCCAACCCTCATAGCACCCACTAATCTGTTGCCTAGCCTCATATTATTTTTTTAAATAATTTTTTTTATCTTGCTTGTGAGAACTCACTGGCACTTGCCCTGAAATCAGGGACGTCTGAAAGGGTTAAAGGTAATATCTCTCAGAGTGAAGGATACATGGGTTACGACTGGTCCCCATACAATAGGTGTTATTGCAGTTTAACCCCTTAAGGACCAAACTTCTGGAATAAAAGGGAATCGTGACATGTCACACATGTCATGTGTCCTTAAGGGGTTAAAGTATCACCTCATCAGTATCTTGCAATAGAATTCCCACTGTGACAGGCAACTAGAAGAGTGTTTGGTGAGTTGTAACCATAATGTGGGGGGATGGTTGATTGGAGATCGTTTTCCCATTGTATGGTATCTATGTTACTTAGGGCATTGTAACACAATGAAAGAGATTTTGTAGCAGTACATTTCTTTACACAGCGGCTCCCAAAGAGTGTGAGCTGGGACAGGTCGCTAGGTTAAATATTCAATGTATGCAAGATGTGTTTTAGTCTGAGATATGTAAATAGGTCTTTGGTGGGTAGTGCAAATTCCCTTTGCAGGTCAGGGAATGTTTTCAGACCATCTGAAGTGTATAGGGAGCTTATAGAGGTTATCCCCTTCCCGCTTGAGGGTCGAGGGAGATGTTGTCAGATGTTGCGTTGCATGCTTGAATGGGATGCAAACTAAACCAGCCAAGTCCTTCACCCAGTGCCTCCAGGTGGTAATTAAAAGAGATGTGCTGTGGAGCATACCTGGCTTAGCTTGGTCTGGTACTATGGACAGCCATAGTAGGTGGTCAATTTTATAGGGCTGGATGCAGGCATTTTCCAGAGATAACCATAGCAGTGGTCTGGAGCGGGACAGGACATGTATGTCTTGTGCTAGTGTTGATGCATTATAGTACATTTTAATATTTGATATACTTAGTCCACCCTTATGTGAGGTAAGCCACGTCAAACGGCTCGCTATCCTGTTTTTTTTTTTTTCTTTCAAATGTATGAATTGACGACAACTTGAAATTGTGACACTAATTTATTGGATTTTGCTATTGGTAATATACGGAAAAAGTACAATAGATGCGGAAGTAGCATAATTTTACTAGCATGGAATGCACCCAAGCCAGGAGATTTCTAATCTGCACCACTTGCTAGCTTGTGTTTTAAGTTTGTGTATGAGTGCCGAATGGTTTTGTCTAATAAGGTGGGCACAGGATTTTGTTAAATTAACGCGTAAGTATTTTAGGGATGTTTTCTGCCAGTCAAAGGAGAATGTATCTTTCAGGGTTTGGATTGTGCTCTTGGGGAGACCAATAGGCAGTTATTTTTATAGTACGATATGTGGCCATATAGCTGGAGAAGATCCATTAGTGTTGTGATGGAGCGGTTGAAGATATCTTCAACGTATTGTGCCAACTTTTGTTCCCCTGTGGGTGTAGGGAGTCCCGAGATTTCAGGGTGGCATTTAATACTGTGAACCAGTGATTCTAAGCATAGAATGAAAATGAATGGACAGAGGGGGCATCCCTTGTGGGTGCCATTTGATATTGTAAATGAGTCGGATAAGAAGCCAGAGCTGAAAACTTTAGTTGTTGGGTTAAGGTATAACACTAGAATACTCCTGAGGAAGGCAGGAGGGAGACCCATTTTTAGCAGTGTGGCTTGCCTGTAGTCCCAACTAAGATGATCAAATGCCTTTTCCGCGTCGAGGGCTTCTACTACCCCCTGTTGGCCCTGGGAGTTCGCCCATTTTATTAAGTTAGTGACATGTCTGGTGTTATCCCCTACTTGTCTTCCCCCGCTTGCTATGTGGAAACCAAGTCCTGCAGGGGTTTTAAACGAGTTGCTAGCAGTTTGGCATAAAGTTTAATGTCTGCATTCAACAGTGATATCGGTCTTAGGTTTGCGCATTCAGTTAGAGGTTTGCCAAGCTTGGGCAAGGTGACAATATGGGCCTCCAGCATTTCTTGAGGTACTGAACCTATGGATTTGATATAATTGACTTGGGGCGTTAGATGCAGTTCCAGGCGGGTATAATAGTAATTGGAAAGTCCATCAGGGACCTTGTGTTTTGGTAAAGAGAGAATAGCTTTGTGAACCTCCTCTTCTGTAAAGGGACTGTCTAGTGATTCATTTTGCCATCTAGTTAATTGAGGTAGGTCCACTGAATCTAAAAAATGTGTGAATAGAATCGGAGGTAGGTTGGCGTACTGATGGATCTGTCTTTAAGTTATATAGTGTGGTGTAATACCATGCCAGCTTGTTGACTAGGTCATTGGTATCAAAGAGTTTAGTTTGAGAGGCAGAAGTGATGCAAGGAATTTTGGACTGCACGTACTTGGATTTGAGTTTAGCCGCCAATAATTTCCGTGTAAAATTTTAAGTTAAAAGATCTCAGTCTCTGTTCACTAACTCTAGGGCGTGTAATTCATTTTGGATCTTTTCAATGCATATGGTTAGCCGCTTAGAGGGGATTTGTTTATTTTGAGCCTCCAACTTATTCAGTTCCTTAGCAGGGGCGGACTGAGAGCCTTTGGGGCCCCCGGGCAAAATTAGATCCCAGGCCCTTTGAAGGCCAAATATATGTGCATTAAATAAATGTTAAATATAACTCATAATACAGCATTCCTTTGGATGTGTATATTGTGAAGACCTGTGTATCAATGCATGTTTGTATTTGAGTCTGTGTGAATGCACTTGTGCATGTCGGGATGACTACATGTGCTTTTTTGTATATAGTGTCTGTGTGAATGCATATGTGACAGGTGACAGTGTGTGAGGGAGAAGGTGACAGGTGGAAGAGTGTGGGAGGTTGTGACAGGTGGCAGAGTGAGGGGGTACCTGGTGGCAGAGTGAGGGAGGGAGGGGTTGAGGGGTGGCAGAGTGAGGGGGAGACACAGTGAGTGGGGGTGACTAGTGACATAGGGAGGGAGAGGGGGTGACTAGTGACAGAGTTAGGGAATGGGTGACTAGTGGCAGAGTGAGGGAGGGAAGGGGTGACTGGTGACAGAGTGAGGGGATGACTGGTGACAGAGGGAGGGAGTGACTAGTGACAGAGGGAGGGAGTGACTAGTGACAGAGGGAGGGAGTGACTGTCACTAGTCACTCCCTCCCTAACTCGGTCACTGTCACCCGCTCCCTCACTGTCACTAGTCACCCCCTCCCTCACTCTGTCATTACTCACCCCCTCTGTCCCTAGTCACCCTCTTCCACACTCTGTCACTAGTCACCCCATCCCTCTCACTGTCACTAGTCACTCCCTCCCTAACTCTGTCACTGTGAAGGAAGGAAGGGGTGACTGGTGATAGAGTGAGGGGATGACTGGTGACAGAGTGAGGGAAGGGATGACTAGTGGCAGAGTGAGGGAAGGAAGGGATGACTGGTGACAGAGTGAGGGAATGACTGGTGACAGAGTGAGAGAGGGGTGACTAGTGACCGAGTGAGGGAGGGAGTGGGTGACTAGTGACAGAGTGAGGAAGGGGGTGACACAGTGATAGTCACCCCATTCCTCCCTCTGTCACTAATCACCACCTCCCTCACTCTCACTAGTCACCCTTCCCTCCCTCACTCTGTCACTAGTCACACCCTCCCTCTCTCTGTCACTAGTCACACCCTTACTGTCACTAGTCACACCCTTACTCACTGTCACTAGTCACACCCTCCCTCTCTCTGTCACTAGAGTGAGGGGTGACTAGTGACAGAGTGAGGGGGTGACAGGTGATAGAGTGAGGGAAGGGGTGACTAGTGGCAGAGTGAGGGAGGGGTGACTAGTGACAGAGTAAGGGGATGACTGGTGACAGAGTGAGGGAGGGGGTGACACAGTGACGGAGGGAGGTGGTGACTAGTGACAGAGTGAGGGAGGTGGTGACTGTCACTAGTCACCACCTCCCTCACTCTGTCCCTAGTCACCCCTCCCTCTGTCACTAGTCACCCCTTCCCTGCCTAACTGTCACTAGTCACACCCTCACTCACTCTGTCACTAGAGTGATGGGGTGACTAGTGGCAGAGTGAGGGAAGGAAGGCGTGACTAGTGACAGAGTGAGGGGATGACTGGTGACAGAGTGAGGGAGGTGGTGACTAGTGACAGAGTGAGGGAGGTGGTGACTGTCACTAGTCACCACCTCCCTCACTCTGTCCCTAGTCACCCCTCCCTCTGTCACTAGTATCCCCCTCCCTCACTCTGTCACTAGAGTGAGGGAAGGGGTGACTAGTGGCAGAGTGAGGGAAGGGGTGACTAGTGGCAGAGTGAGGGAGGGGTGACTAGTGACAGAGTAAGGGGATGACTGGTGACAGAGTGAGGGAGGGGGTGACCCAGTGACGGAGGGAGGTGGTGACTAGTGACAGAGTGAGGGAGGTGGTGACTGTCACTAGTCACCACCTCCCTCACTCTGTCCCTAGTCACCCCTCCCTCTGTCACTAGTCACCCCTTCCCTGCCTAACTGTCACTAGTCACACCCTCACTCACTCTGTCACTAGAGTGATGGGGTGACTAGTGGCAGAGTGAGGGAAGGGGTGACTAGTGGCAGAGTGAGGGAAGGAAGGGGTGACTAGTGACAGAGTGAGGGAGGGGGTGACTAGTGACAGAGTGAGGGAGGGGGTGACTGTCACTAGTCACACCCTCCCTCTCTCTGTCACTAGTCACACCCTCCCTCACTCTGTCACTAGTCACCCCTTCCTTCCCTCTCTCTGTCACTAGTCACACCCTCCCTCTCTCTGTCACTAGTCACACCCTCCCTCACTCTGTCATTTGAGTGAGGGGGTGACTAGTGACAGAGTGAGGGAAGGGGTGACTAGTAACAGTGGGGGGGTGACTAGTGACAGGGGGGTGATTAGAGCCTACCTGTGCTTCCTCTGCTCTCCCTGGCTGCTGCTCCTTCCCCTCGCTGGGCTCTGTGTGAGAGGAGTAAACAGGAAGTGATGTCACTTCCTGTCCCTCTCCCATCACACAGAGCACCGCGGGACTGGGAGAAGGAGACCTGGCAGAGAGCTGCTGAAGCTGCCAGGTCTCATAGGGGGTGATTTACAGGGCGGTAGGTTGTGGGGCCCCGTGCTGCATCAGGGGCCCCACAACCTATAAATGAAATAGATTTTTTTTTTTTAATTTTGCCGTTCCAGTTGGAGAGATCTCTGATCTCTCCAGCTGGAGCAAGGCTGTGCGGCCGGGCCCCTGACTGCCTCGGGCCCTCGGTCCATGACCGATATGCCCGAGTGGTCAGTCCGCCCCTGTTCCTTAGTGAGATGTAATGTTGCATCTTTCTGAGATCTTTTTTTATGGGATCCCAACTGGAACGAACACCCCCCCTTGTGACAGCTTTATGAGCTAGCCAGCAATTAATTGGGGATGATCCTCCTGGAGTACTTTCTGTAAAATAGTTAGATATGGCCTGCGAGATGAGTGACATAGCGGGTGTATACTCTAGGAGTGCCTCATTCAGTCTCCACTTTCCTCTAGTGGGAAATAGGGAGCGAAAAGTGATAAGCAACAGTGCGTGGTACGACCAGGATCTAAGCCCTGTGACCACCTCCACCAGGTTGTCTATCAAAGGTCAATGTGGGAGTATGTTAGGTGTACCCGTGAAAAAAAATGTAAACTCCTTCTCAGAGGGCTATTTACTCTTCCGCCAAGTGTCTTATAGGTCATGTGTGAACACTAAGTTTGCTAGAGATTAGCTGATCATAAAAGCGTTCGGAGTAGGACGTCTTCCATTCTCATGTTTAATAGCTAGGTCTGGGTCTAAGGTGCAATTAAAGTCAACGCATATGATTACATGGCCTTGTTTCAGGGAGGCAATTTTTTTGAAAGCTTTACGTTAAAAAGGGTATTGAAATCATTGGGGGCATAGAGGGAAACCAAAGTGACCATAAATCCATTTAACGTACCCACCAGAATCAACAAGTGGCCCATTTTGTCAGTATATTGTGTGCTCGGTTGAAACACCCAATCTGAGTGAAATAGAATGGATACACCCTTCGATTTGTGTGGAGAGTAGGCATGATAAGTTTGTGAGATGCGTTTCATTTGTATGAGGGTGGTTTCTGGACACAAAAGTGGGTCTCCTGGAGACAAATCACTGCCGCTTGGGACTTATGCATTTCTTGTATGGCAAGACTACGTTTGTGTGGGCTATTAAGGTCGTGGACGTTTAGAGAGAAAATTTTAAAAGTGAAATCTGACCTAGTCACGTCTGTTATAGGACTGTTTCTCACATTTTCCCTTTAGGAGGGCCATGTGTGTCCTCGGCGACTTTGGCGTATGTATGGTATCTTGGCCTGTGTAGTAGTTAAGTTAGTCGCCAAGGGTGGAAGGTTGTGTATCATGGAGATTATATGCCACATATTTGATTAACACCATGTTAGAGGCTTATAGGTCTCATGCACCTGGTGGGGGAGGGGGGCGGTAACAGGGGGTCCAAAATATAGAAACAAGAAAAATAAATTATATACTGTTAACAATGCATAGTATGCAAACTAGATGACAGAGTGGGAAACAGAAGATGGCGTTCCCCATAGATTCGGTTTGGGAGGTGGGGGTAGAATGTTTTCCACACCATATAGTTCTAGAGGGCTCTCTCAGGCCTCCTCCCCTAATATATTTTTGTGATATAACTTGTTTTACACTCTCAAGAACATTAACATAGGAGTCAGAGGTCTATAAGACAGAACCAATCCACAGGAGTCTGGATTATACAATGTATTAGTATATACTGGGCAGCGCCCCCATCATGCCTGCGTCACACAGGGTAAAGAGGCAGTTTCAATATGTCATGTCGCCTAGGCTAAGTAGGCGCTTCAGGGTTACCAATAAGTGGAAGCTCCTTTGCAACGCAAGTTGTACACTGATATGTTGTGCACAAGGACACGGATGGAGGACTCTATGGCATAGGATGCTATAGGTTACAATGCCTCTACCTCCACCATGTCCACGTGCTATATGGAAGTGTGAGATTAGTGGGTTAATTTAAAAAACAGTTGAGGAGGTTGTGACGGACTGCACAATCACATTGGCTCTCAGGTCCAGGACACTCCCATACAAAATCAGATAATCCCTCCTCTGTGCCTGGGAGATAATTGGATCAGGAACTGTACCAATCCTATCCAAATATTTCCAAGCACAGAAAAAACATAAATTTTTACAAACCCCCCAAAATACCTTAAAAACCACAAAATCCCCACAAAGTTACATCTCTTGATAGCCCTGATCTGGGTGACCAACATATCCAAATTCATGAAGATTTCCTGGGGTTCAGGAATTTCCTGGAAGTCTTACTTTTGACCGACCATGCACATGGTCCTATGCGCAAAACAGTTTCAGGGAATGAGGGCTAACGGTCGGTCTCTCTGTCTGGAGTACAAAAGTACATAACTCACACGAACAGAGCCTTTTCAAGTGCATTGGGAAAGATATATTGCAGGGCCCATAGTCCTGAGGCAAGAGGATGGCCAGCAGGCCCCTCCAAGAACCCGTGATGCGGTTCAGTTCGTCACAGGGGTATAATACTGCCGCATATTCGGCACAATAACAACTTCTGTGTCTATCTTTTAAGTTGGTCTGTAAAAAATAAAAAATGTGACCTTCAACAGCCTGTATTATGAACAAGAGCTGGTGTAAACTAATTAACCTTAAGGAATAAAGAATATTATGCAATAATAACATTAGTTTGCATTATACTCAAGTGATATTTGGAGAGTGTTGTTGCTGTACAGTAATTTATGGATCTCCATACGCGTCTTCGAGCCCGATGGGGAGCTCTGCTTGGAGATGCCAACTTCTGGCTCCAGGTTCACCACCAATTTTTCTTTATACCACACCAGTAGCTTTGTGGGATGTCCCCACCGCTAAGGCACCTTGTGGTTGCGTAGAGTTTTGGTGACAGATATGAATTCATGTTTCTGTGCCATCGTGAATGCTGAGAGATCCGGATAGATGTTGATTCCTTGGTATGGATCTGGGAGCGTAGCGAGTTTGTGCGCAGTGTTTAGTAGGAGATCCTTGGACTTGAAATAATGAAACCTGGCTATTGTATCCCGTGGTGTGTCTGCTGTGAAAGGGAGAGATCTGGGCAAGCAATGCACCCGATCAAATGTCCAAGCGGACTCATCCAAATAAAGCACAAGGGCTTTGCAGAGGGATGTTAGGTATTGAGTATTGCTTCGCTAGTTACAGTGTCGGCTATACCTAGAAACCGTATATTATTGCACCGTGATCGATCCTCAAAGTCAGATAATTTGTGCTTGAAAGATTCATGTTTCTCCTCAAGCCTCGGCAGATTATCCACCATCTCTTTATTTGCAGTGAAAAGCTCCTCCATTTTGTTTTCTAAGTGACTGGTTCGGCCTTTTGTTTCCATAGGTATGTAGCCAGTTGCTTAAAATCCACTTGTAGTGTGGATTGTGACTCATGCAGCATGGTCTGCAGGCTTCTATCCATTACCGGTGTTTCATTTGGCGTTAGTGGAGCAGTTTCAGGCTCTGAGGGAACGTCCGAAGCTGGTGAGTATGCCACGGGGTCGTCACTATCTTAGATATGTTTCACACGGTCCTTTTTGCTTGACCGTATCAGATCCATCAATTTCAGTTGTTTAGGCGGTGCCATTATTCTTTTCTAATCAGGTAGATTAGTATTTATATGCCAATTGATCTGTTTTGCTCTGCTTATTTGACGCTATGGGCCTGGTGGAGAATGGAGCTCTCACTCCATGCGACTTATCTCTCTGCCAGTCAGACACCCCCCCATGGATGATGGATTTTAACATACAGTGCCAGGGTTATTCACTAAAGTGTGAATTGTCAATAATTAAAAGCAAATTTGAAATTTTAGGCAAAAATAGCTGTATTTAAAATAAAACTATCTTTGAGAACCTAAAATTTTAAATTTACTTAGAATTCATTTTAAATTCCCATTCCCAACAATTATAATTTCAGTGAATTATCCCATGAACAAGGTTGGCCTTAAAGGCACACTATAGTCACCAAAACAACTTTAGCTTAATGAAGCAATTTTGGTGCATATATTATGCCCCTGCAGTCTCACTGCTCAATTCTCTGCCATTTAGAAGTTAAATCATTTTGTTTATGCAGAATTAGTCACACCTCTTTGCAAGTGACTTGTGCAATCTTCCTAAACAATGCCTGTTAAGAGTCATCTAATGTTTATACTTCCCTTATTGCAAATTCTGTTTAAATTTGAATTCCCGATCTTCTGCTCTGTTAATAGCTTGCTAGACTCTGCAGGAGCCCACTGTGTGTGATTAAATTTCTATTTACAGAGCAGGAGATGAAATAAAACCATTATTTTTCATGCAGGATGCGTAAGTAACAGCCAATGGAGGCATGGCTATCGCTGCATAAACATAAACAAAAGTGATTTAGCTCCTAAAAAGCAGATAACTGAGCAGTGAAACTTCAGAGGCATGCCCTATGCACAAAAACAGCTTAATTAGACTTTTATTCTGATGACTGCAGTGTCCCTTTAAGCCTTTTCAGCTCCCTGTGCAATTCATGTCCACAGCACCCCTCCCTGGTCCCACCCACACATCCATGTTTAGTGTGTATATAGGGATTTAGTGTTTGCATAACAACGCAATTAAATTATTAATTTTAAAAAACAAACAAAAAGAAAACAGAAAAACAAATATTAATTCTCCTTCCCTGTTGTTACCTTGCAGTGAGAGGGCATGCTAATCTCTGGTGGTCCAGTGTGCTGGGAATCTAGTCTGTACCTGTAGCCCTGT